GTGTGTACATTAATGAGGAAAAAAAAATAACTTAAATGATTTTAGCAAATGGCTGCAATATAACAAAGAGGGAAAAATGTAAGGGGGTCTGAATACTTTCCGTACCCACTGTATATATATATATATATACTTTTTTTTTCTTTTTTTTTTCTTTATATACAGGGGTTTTGCATGTCTTTCCTGTCTTTTAGTTTAATAATAACAATAATAATTTGTTATTTATAAATTATATTATTTTTATTTATATCAATGTATTTTTTTAGTATATATATATATATATATATATATATATATTATTGTTTAATATTATTATTTATTATTATTACTTTTAATAAACATGGTTTTTGCAGGTCTTAAAAAGTTCTTAACACTAAATTCGTCCTTCCACAAATTAAGGCTTTAAAAGGGCTTAAATCGGAGCAGAAAGTCTTAAATGCATTGTCATGGCATTAAATGTTGTATACATTGCAAAAAAATATCTTCCTCAGTGTTTTGTCTTTTATTTCCCAATGCAAATATCCAAACAGCCTTAAATCAAGACACATTTGCTTTGCTTGAGACAAAAAATGATGAAAATATAAATGCTTGTTTTCTGAGAAAATGAACACAATTAAGTGAGTCTATGCTTGAAACAAGAACAGATGTCTGTCAGTAGGACTTTGAATGAAGTTTTTCTGAGCCCATTGACAAGTTGTTGTTCTTGTTTTAATCAAACTAAATTCATTTTCATCAGCTTTTCAGAAAAATCATTTAGAGACCATATTGACACATTGTGTCCCATTTAATTTATTTCTTAACATTTCTTTACTCGGTCTTAAAAATCTGTACATTTACCTTCATAAAACCTGTATATATTTGACTGTATTATTGCATTTGTATAGTGTTTTTTCAGAGCTCAATATTAGTTCACTTTTAAGATTGAGCTGTAAATATTCACAACATTGATGTTACACAATTCAGAAGTGTGTTGTACCTGTTATGGAAAAAAGATGGAGCAGGAATATTAATGGCTTGTCTTTATTTATATCCATAGTTCGTCCTGGCAGCGTGAGAAACATCATTCAGCAGTTTGAGAATAATTCAGACTCCATTGAAGAAGGGGACAGTGAGGGACAGCAGTTGTCTTCCAGCAGCTTTGGAGAGGACAGCATGGACAGGTCACAGCATGCAGATGTTATATAAGCAGGATATTTCACTTTTAGATGGTTCTCACAAGACGTTCCAGCTTTAATGATTTGATGTTGATTGCATTTGTTTATTCTCCTTCTCAGTCCGACCATATCGGTGCGTTTGGCTCGTAGCGAGTCTTTGAAGGCTCAGGGGGAGGGGCGTCGGCGAGGAGGCGGGACGGGGGCGGAGTCTGTCCCTCGTTCCCGTAGCGATGTGGACATGGAGGACTGTGAGGAGAGGGAGGGGCCGGGACTGAGGCCGTTACATCACAGCGCCTCGTCTTCAGCCTCCAGCAGCTCGGCACGGTACAAACACACAGACACATAAAAAAACCCTCTTTTTTTTAAATTGACAAAACACACTATTCCACATCCTGCTCAATGCTGTACTTCAAACAAACGTGCAAACTGCATGCTATGAACACACACTGTATGATTAATATATGTGACTCTGGAGCACAAAAGCAGTGTTAAGTCGCTGGGGTATATTTGTAGCAATAGCCAACAATACATTGTATGGGTCAAAATTATAGATTTTTCTTTCATGCCAAAAATCATTAGGATGTTATGTAAAGATCATGTTCCATGAAGATATGTTGTAATTTTCCTACTGTAAATATATCAAAACTTAATTTTTGATTAGTAATATGCATTGCTAAGAACTTAATTTGGACAACTTTAAAGATGATTTTCTCAATATTTAGATTTTTTTTGCACCCTCAGATTCCAGATTTTCAAATAGTTGTATCTCGGCCAAATGTTGTCCGATCCTAACAAACCATACATCAATGGGAAGATTATTTATTCAGCTCTCAGATCTCAATTTCGAAACATTTACCCTTATGACTGGTTTTGTGGTCCAGGGTCACAAATCTCTGTGCTACACTTTGTGTAAAAGAGTTATAAAGCACAGTTTAAACGGACAGTTTAATTCCCTAAATTAAAATTGGAAATAATAATGATGAAAATGGTAAAGAAAAATGCAAACTCCGTATTGATGAGAGGAACGTTCTGCAGGAACACACACACATTCTCTGTGTTACGGTCGTGTCTTTATTCTGTAAATGTATGAAACGTCTTACATTTATATTCAATCGCACAATTGACTTTTAAACCTGAATTTAACGTCCAATAACAGATATATCAGCAAAATTACTATTATTGCCCTGAATATTACTAATATTTACGCATGCCGGTGCTCGTTCAGTGAAGTCTGAAGTTTAACGCACATGGACGAGTCTTCATGCAAAATAGAAACATTCACGTGAATATGTAACATT